GGGGGGGGGCGGTAATATGTGGCCCCTCGGGCTATGCACACCCTCTCCACTTATAGCGTATTGCCAGTTTTGGTCCCCTCTGGAAAAAGTTTTTTCAAATCAGATTCTTGAACACCAAAGAGTACGTTGTCTACACTTTTTTCTTTTTCATTGCCTTTTTGAGTCATGATTAATCTAGGGTTTCTACTTCTTGCTTTATCTTCCAAATCGTTTTTACTTTTATTTTATTTTTCCCTGTATATTTATTAGTTGTTTCTAAAGTTCTGCTACCCAAAAAGTTTCTTTTTTCTATTTTAATTTCATCATCTATTGATCTTTGGGAAACTCTTATTCAATTATTTTTCAGTAGCATTAAAGTTCATTGTTTTTGGATGTTATTTGAGCGTTCACAAATTATTTCTTCATTGTGCAGGTGGGAAGAGGGTAGTGTTTAGAAAACGGGAGGTTTCCTTTCAGTCCTTTTAATGCATTTATTACATATTTTATTCTTTGGTATTTCCTCTATCCTGTCTGGTCACTTTCCATTTCAACTTCTCCTGCTAAAGAGATTTTATCCTTTGAATTTTTTATGTTACAGAATTTCTTTAAAAAACTATTCATTGTAACAACTAAATACTTACTAACTGAAAAAAATAAATTTAATAAAGGAAAAAAAAGAGAAAAATGGTTAAGCAAAACTGACTGATAGACGATGCCTGGAAAGAAGTAGATGAAACTTTCCACACATGTAGTTCCTCCACCCTTCCTTCAAGCAAGGATTCAAAATGACCATTACCTTCAATTCAAATTCAGCTTTCTTTTGGTGTTGTCTTAATTCATTATTATAGCCACTCTATGCTCTGTCTGTCTGGTTCTGCTTTCTTCGCTCGGTTCATAGTCTCCCCTATATTTCTATAATTTCCTCACATTCATTGTTTCCATAAACAGGATTTGCTCAGGGCACCCAGTTGGTTTCTAGTCCTTCACTATCTCAAAAAGCTCTGCTATGAAAATTTTGTATATATATAAGCCCTTTCTATCTTTGAGGTCATTGGGATACAAGTCCAGTGGTGATATTCCTGGATAAAACAGAGGAAGAATTTAATGCTTTTTCTTAAAATGGTTGGAAACATTCATATGATCAACCAACAATGCATGTTATGTCTTAACCACAGCTCTTCCAACATTGGATATTTTATTTTTCATACCATCTTTGCCAATTTGTCCAGTATGAGATGAAACCTTAGCAATTTGTAATTTCAATTTCTCTTACTGTTAAGTGTTTGGACGGTTTTTCAGATGACTGTTGTACTGCAATGCTTCTTTTCAAAACTGTGCATGTTTTTTGATCATTTGCCTTCTGGGGCATGCCTTTCATATTTTTGTCAGTTCCCTACATATTATGTTTATCAGACTTTGTCAGAGATGTTTGCTGGAAAGATTTTTGTCCCCCCTCCACAGTCCTCTTCTTATTGTAATCGCATTGATTTTTGTTCATGCAAAGAGTTTTAATTTTTAATTAAATTTTTTAAATTGTCTTTTTTTGCTTTTTGTGATTAATCATCTCTTTGTCTTGTTTTCATTAGGAATTGTCCCCTTAACCACAAATATGAATGATACCTCCTAATGTTTCTAAAATACGATCTTATACAACAAGTTCATATACATTTGAAATATTGTGGGATATGGTGTAAATGGTCTCAACCTCTTTTCTGTCTAAATGTTTTCCAATCTATTTTCATTTGTTACTGGTTGTGACTTATCTAATCTGTTTCACTTACCTATTTTTCTTTTTTTAGTCATATCAATTAGGTCTGGTGATTACTTCTTTATAATAATGATAATTTTTAAAAAGAAATTTTAAGCTACTAAAGGTTGTAAGTACATTGACACTTTTGGAACATCCTGCATAATGTGAATCAATGAAAAGCAAGTATTAAGTGTTGATTGTGTATCAAACATTTTACGAAGTGTTCAGGATACAAAAACTTTGAAGAGAGGGTTCACTGGCTCAAGGAGTTTGCATTCTAACAAGGGAGAAAACACATCTAGGGGAGTGATGCCCAGGGAAAGAATGTTGCAAAAACGGCAAGTGGAGTAATAGACTGGAAATCAATACATCCTTCCCAAAAATAACGGCAGTAGTTTGATTAAGGTTATCAGAGCAAGAGAAAGAAACTGTGAGGTGTAACTGTGAGTGGCAGGAGCAAGGGAGAAAATGCAGGTGCATGAACATAAGGGCCTGACTGTCTTCTGCAACAAAAGACAATTTATAGTGTCTTTTCCCCTATTTATAATTTTAATTTATTTCTCTAGGCTTCCAGTGGTTTTTCATTTCAAAGAACACTCTCCTGGCTGTAGATACATACTTTTTATCATAGTGGTGTTTATCATAAGATGGGTCCTTTCATTCTTAGGCTTTAATAGGTTTATATAACATAAATAAATTATTTTGCCAAAGTTGCATTATTTACATAACTAATTATGCTCAGTGTTTTCTTAATATTGAACCATTCTAGCATCCCTGATACAAATCCAACTTGGTCACTGTAAAATTTTTTGGATATATGTTGGTGTAATCTCATTACTACTACTTTATTTAAAATTTTGCCATATATAGTACAACACACAAGCTAGAACTGTTTCAATTAAGAAGGTTGTGCTACACACTGAGGGCAGCTGTGGTTAAGTTTGTCCCAGCTGTGAGGACTTTGGGCAAGAAGGTCAAAAAAGTCAACAAGGTACCTAGGGGTCTCAGGTCAGGAGCTCTCCAACAAAGTCTCCCAAGAGACTTTTACATTCCTCTTGCCCAAAGGCCCACGGAGGGGCAGAGCCAAGATGGTGGAATAAAAGCAGTGACTTGCTTGAGCTCTCCCCCAAACCCCTCCAAATACCTGTAAAAAAAAAATGGCTCTAAACCAAAAGGCCCACTGCTGAGTCCCAGATGAAGCCACCATGAGAGGTGTGGTTAAGGGAAAAGAAATGGCTTATGGATAAATCTGACACCAACTGGCTGACGGTTGTGGGGGAGGAGTTAACTTACACCTTACCAAGTTTCCCCAAAATCCTAGTCCAGAATGGTAATACTGCTAAATAAATGTATTAGCTCTTTCTTTCCCAGAGAAATCAATGACCTTATAAGTCAACTGTTCAGATTAACTCATTAGCATGTCCTCCCCCTCTAGGGTGTCTATTTCTAAAGATCTAGATACAAGATGTCTCCATTTTTTAGAACCTCATACTCATGGCAGTAAGAACCACCCTCAAGGGCTGTTTTCTTTTCTTTTATACAAATAGCAGACAGGTATGCAAAACATTTTCCTTGAAAATCATATGACCTAAAATGTCTTTACTGTCATTACTTTGGGAAAAAGTCTATCTATGTGATAGTCCATTTTAGTTCCATTAGAATAAGGAGTTATATTCTAATCATAATAGAGATGTTACAATAAAAAATTGAAAGAATCTGGAAGGTATTGTAATTATTTCTATCACCAATGATTAACAGTGCTTTCAACATATAAGCTACATAATAAATTATTGAATTAATAAAAGAAAGAATGAGAATGAGTCATCAATTCCCACAGTGTCATTGGGAGATATGTAGCTAGCAATATCAACTGAATTTCCCAAAGTCAAACAACCCAGAGTAAATGCAGAAATAACTAGCTGTTGCCAAATTCAATATACAGATTTATCAAAGAGCTTTCAGCAGAATAACTGTTCTCCTTGGTTGGACCTTTCCATGTTCAGGAAATCAGAACAGGAAAATCCCTGGTATTTAGCCTAGATGAGTGGGGCAGCCCCAGCCAAGATAAAAGAGAGGCAAAGATCCCAGGATACATATAGAAGAAGCAACTCAGAGACAATGCATAATCCTCTATTATACAACTGCCTGGCTCACCACTAAGTCAACATGCACATCTGCTGACTGCATTTGTGTCTGCAGAGGCAAGAGAGACAGACAATACTTATTACTTCTCTAGTTTTATCCTTCTCTTCCACTGAGAATGATCTTTAAATAGCTGACTCAGTTGGTGAAAATATAGTGACATTTCTCTCACAACCATAATTTAAGTGCAATTATTCATAAAAACAGTGTCATTCTCAGATGGTTGTTGACAATATTCAAGTCACTCAACTGGAATACCTGGTGATAGACTGACACAGTACACTTCTACAGACACTTGCTGCCAAAACAGAGCTTACCACGTAAGTTCCACGAACACATTAAGAGAGTAGTACTGCAAGGGTGTGAAGAAGGAACCATGAAATCCCACAAGAATTTATGTGATAAATTAAAAATATCAAAGAGATAAACGCTAGGGCTTGGGGGAAAGGGGTGGGGGGAAGAAATAACTTCACAATGTCAGCAGCTGAAGCAAGGCATGTAGAAGCAGAGAAAAATACTTCTCAACTATGGGCTTTTTTCATTCTAATATTCAGCTTGGGGAAAGGACTAGAAGCTTTATGTACACAAAAGAAAAGAGTAATTTCAATAAATTTGAGGAGGCACTAATTATCAAACAGAGCAATTAAAGTAAAGGCCTCCATTATGACATTCTCCTTTCCATAGGAATCCCTTAATTAACACCAAGGGGCTCCCAAAATTAAAAAGTGAAAGGTACAGCTCCAGCAAGATTAAGGCAAACTTTTTTTTTTCCTTTTAAGGTTTTATATGGCACAAGTAATATATACAGAAACCCAGGTAATATAAGAATACAGAAAGGCTCTGTCCATACAGTATTACTAGGCATCCTCTTCTAGCCAGGAGTTAATAAGAGTTTCAATAACATTCAGAGGTTCTATTTATGTGATTTAACTATTTAAGAAACACTTACCTAGGGCAGCTAGGTGGTGCAGTGGATAGAGCACCAGCCCTGAAGTCAAGAGGACCTGAGTTCAAATTCAGCCTCAGACCAACACTTGGCACTTACTAGCTGTGTGACCCTGGGCAAGTCACTTAACCCCAATTGCCTAAAAACTTAAAAAAAAAGAAAAAAGAAACAAGAAACACTTACCTGTGGCATCATTCTCTTCTAGTTCATGATCACCATTGGCTAACACTGTTGGTTTGGAAGGTGTAGTGCCTGCAACAACCACATAGAAAATGATTACACACAAGAGTGATTTTTTTAAAAGGGCTTTTTTTCCTTTATTTTTATTCATGATTTTTGTTTTAATGTCATTGGCACTTCCCAATACTATCTCTCCTTGCCCTACAAGAGAGCCAACCTGTATAACAAATTAAAAATTAAAAGGAAGAGTTCATCAAAACTAAAACTTATCAAAAAAGCTAGACATTCCATATAGTCCCATCCACCACCCTTCGCCTTCTTATCCCCCGTTCTGTAAAGAAAGTGTTACTATAATTTCACAGCCTTTAGTTTTGATTGATACAACCAAATTTTAACTGGAGCAATCCTTATTCATCTTCATCACAAACATCTACCAAAGGTTGTTTTTGAAATTTTATCTCCCATACCCCCAAATTATTCTCAATAGGATAAGCAAATAACTAGAGAGATATAGAGGTTCTTAGACCAATATGATTTCTTATTCCATAGCAAAAAGCTATGGAATCTGAATTTTATTCAAATTCCATTGCTATTATAGGATAGAACTGAAAACATCTTAACTTTTAGAGATAATTTCAATCTCCATTTTTGCAGTTATCAAGACAGTTTGCTCAAACAAAGAGAGAGTGTGTGAACGAACACTTCATGATTCAGAAAGTATGAGGAAAATGGTTCTTATAGGCATATTAAAAGGGTTGCAAAAAACAGCCAACCTGACTTCAAACAGATCTCTACACAGAAACTTAGGCTAAAGATGTGATATCATCTGTGTAAACTTGGACATGTCAACTCACCCCGAGTCTCAAAGGGCAACTACAATAAAAATTGCTTTGCTACTGTGGGGTGTTATTTTTTTGCTCACAATGCTCTCTTAAAAAGATATGAGGGAAAGCTTCTATAATCTTCCCCAGAAATAATTCCAAGTTTTCACTGCCGTCACTGAAAAAGGAATCTTTTCTTATATCTACATTGCTTCTGCTATGGCTTCCACTGTCAAAGGTAGTCAAAACATAAAGCATACATAGCTAGATAGCACAATGGATAGAGTGTCAGGCTAGAGTCAGGAAGACTCATCTTTCCGAGTTCAAATTGGGTCTCAAGAACTTATTAGCTCTGTGTCCCTGGCCAAGTTACTTAATACTGTTTGCCTCAGTTTTATCATCTGTAAAATGAGCTGGAGAAGGAAATGGCAAACCACTCTAATATCTTTGCCAAAAAAGCTCTATATGGGGTCATGAAGAGTCAGACACAGCTGAAAATGGCTGAACAACAAGCACAATCCCTCCATTAAATCCCCACACACCACCACGGACATGTGGGTCAAATTATCACCTCTAGTAGCACAGTGACAAATGGCACCCATTCTTGACAAGGCATAGAAACAGGAGTATAGCACTAGCACCTGTGCTAGCGCAATTTAACATCAAAGGTATCACTATGTATTTGATTGACAGGAGAGAGTGGGCTACCAGGTATGATGTGAAAAATGCATACAGTATCTTTGTTCCTTTACTGCATAAACATAGCTCATTGGGTGCCAATCTTTTTAAAATTCCCTTGGGAGCCCAACCCACTGTGGGCCAACGCAGCACAGCCTGTTCTTAGAGCATTATTTGAAATTATGGTGCAGCTCTCATTTTTGTTTTGTTTTTTAAGCACCAATTTGTATCATTCCCCTAAGGGTATCTCAGTGAGGTTCCTCTCAATCCGACAGGGCCAAACAATTTTCAGGCTTGCTCCCTAAAAGCTAAATTCTATAAAGCTCTTCAATCTCTCCAACTACCTTCAAAGCCCTCTTATGTTCCTCACCTCCCCATACTTCCCAATATGTTAATGTTAAGAAAGCAACTACAACCTTAATATTAAACACACACACACACACACACCCCTATTATATCACATTACACACACCCACCATCACCACCTCTCTCACAAACCACTTCCAGAAGGCTACTTACTATTTAAAATGCTGCAAATCCCACCAGCCTATGCATGTGTTGCACAAATCTTGACACAAAAACATTTCCCATACATAAATAAATATATAGAACAAACTCTAATAATATGTAACATACAAAATTTTACCTTGGAATAAAGTAATCTTCACTGGACAACCATAAGTCTTCTAGTCATAAAACGAGTAACAACAAAAACACTTCCTATAAGGTCATCACTAATCCTCTCACTCTACTATATTCAGAAACAGTAAGGCAGAACAGAATGTGCCAAATAACAGGGCCCTAAACCAGGAAGATGCCAATAAATCGCCAGACTTTGATTAAATAAATCCTCCTTTACCTTCACATACTATGAATGCCAACTTACATGTCATATTTGCTAGCTAAAAAATAATAATAATAATAATACTAACTAAAGCAAAGATGGCTAAATTTTTGTAATCCTTTTCCCTGTCACTTGTAACCTAAACTGGTCAGAACCAATAACAATTTTTAAACGGTTGAAATGCAATAATCCGAGCCTGAATCATACAATAGAACTTCTAATTCTCTCTGAGCGCAACAGAGTAATTCATCTAGCTAAAGGATCAAAAGAATGCACATTTCAAAGGCCATTTGGTAGCACAATGTCTTTAGCAAGAAAAATTATTCAACTCAGTTCATTAAAAATATATTTCTGAGCTAGCTCAAAAAGAGGCATGACTCATCGGATAGCTCAGCAGACAAGGAGGTGGGAAATTAAGGGTTCAGGTTTCAATTTGTTTTGATTTAAATAAAGTTTTCTAGAAAGGATGCAGAAAATAGAATAAATTTATTCAGTTTTTTCTTAAAATGGTTTACACATCTCAAACAAACTGCTTGCTTGAAGTCTGCTTTTTTTTTGGTGGGTGGGTTGGGGAGGGAGTGCCTAGGCAATGGGGTTAAGTAACTTGCACAGGTCACACAGCTAATAAATGTTAGGTGTCTGAGACAGCATTTGAACTCAGGTCCTCCTGAATCCAGGGCTGGTGCTCTATCCGTTGCACCACCTAGCTGCCCTGAAGTCTGCATTTTTAATAAAGGAAAATGATAGGAATCTATAGCACTACTATGTACTGTCTGTGTGGTGCCAGGGTATTGGGTCTATTCTGCTTTAATACTACATTTTAAAAACAAAAACTCCACTAACTTCCTTCTACTAGGCTTGCAAATCACAAAAAGATAACAACAAAACATGTTTACATACACATATGAACACACCACATCCCTTCAAGTACGTAATTAAAATCAGCATTTCCACACCTTGTGTTAGAGTTCACCAATTTAGTAGGAAACAACTTTATTTCTATGCACTACTAAACTGTGACAGGATATGCAAATGTTCTACACACAGGAGACTAAACTGATTTGACCAGCTTTAATGGAGCATTAGAAATAACCCTGTGATGATTTTGTTTTATTTATAAAGCAGGTTGGAAGCCACTTTACCACCTCTTCAAACGGCTACTAAAAATCTCTTTTCCACACCAGTTTCTAAGATCAAAAGTGCTTCAGTATACAACTCCTAAGAATAAAGGCACACCCTACAAATGAACTGAGACATAACTAAGGCATAACATGAGACATGTAACAGCACAGCACTATATAACACTATATTAAGTATTAGCTTAATAAAAAATAAGAATCACCTGATTTTTATGGCCACTGCTAGATGTATCTCAAACCTAGCTTTCAAAACCTCTCCCAGCACTCGCACACTCCACCCTCATCAAGCACCATGCTCACTATTGCTCCCCACAGACCTTTCTCATCCGACCGTCTCTTCTCTATCCTGTCCCCTTACTTATTATGCATTCTTACACTTACTTAAATGTGTTCTGTTATTGTCTCTGCTTCAGGAACCGATTCAAGCGCTGCCTGTCACTAATTGTAAGAAACATCCCCTTAAATGCATTTCTTCCTTTCTCAGATTTCTCCAGTATGACTGTATCTCTCCTGGGCATTCTCCCCATTCTACAATCGAGTCCAGCTGTATTTCCTATTATCAACCCAGTGAACATATAATAAACTCCCTGCATCAGATTTCATCTTTACAGCACTCATAGGTGATAGCACACTACTTGGAACATAATAGTAGGCACTTACGAAAAGTTTAAAGAATTACTGAAATCCTCTGAAAATTTAAAAGAGGACTTCCATCTGGGAAAACAAACCACAAAAGGCCAACAAACATGATCTTAGTAGTATGGGGGGGGGGGTTCTTCATGCTATGGAGTTAACATTCAAGAACAAAGAAAATTAACACAACAAGGACCTATTACTTGTCAGGCACTATACTAACGGCTAGGGATACTAAGAGAAAGATAAAAAAGCTACCCTGAAGAGTGCGTGTTCTACTGGGATAAACATATACCCATGGAACAAAGTACAAGACATTTTTGGTGTTGGCGGGGGAGATGGATAGCAGCTAGGAGAATCAGAAAGGCTTCATGTAGGAGGTCAAATTTGAGTTGAGACTGGATGGAAGCAAGGAGACAACGCCATTCAAATATGGAGTAAAGATTGTACAAAGTAACAGGAACACTAAAAAGGGAATATCATGACAGGGGTACCATACAAATAAAACTACAAAACACTATTTAAGGAAATAAATACACACTCAATTAAGAGAAATATTACCTGCTCATAGATAGGCAGAACTAATATAATAAAAATGAAATGCTACCCAAATGAATTTACTTATTCAGAACCATACCAACCAAACTACCAAAGGATCATTTTATAGAGCTAGAAAAAATAATAAAATACATCTGGAAGAACAAAAAGTCAAGAATCCCAACAGAAATAATTTTTTAAAAAAGTTAAAAAGAGAGGCAGCTAGGTTACGCAGTGGATCGAGTTCTAGCTTTGAAGTCAAGAGGATCTGAGTTCAAATCTGGCCTCGGACACTTGACACTTACTAGCTGTGTGACCCTGGGCAAGTCACTTAATCCTGACTGCCTTACCAAAGTAAAAAAAGAAAGGGACGTAGCAGTACCAGACTGCACACTACCCAACAAAGCAAGAATCATCAAA